GGTAGTGCGCATTGCACTCCTTGTGTATACAAATACCCGTCCCCTCCTCCCTCCTCCCCCCTCCTCCCGCCGCCCTTCCCGTGGTACAGATGATTAGGTTAGGTGTGTTTCCCCATTCATTTTGGGTGGCAGGTCCTGTATTCTGAAAATGTTGAGGAACTTTGGATTCTTATTATAAAGTGACCCTGATTGTTCAGTATCCCTCAACATTTCTTATTTATACAATTGAATTTCATACAAATGACTTTTTTCCTAAAGGTTTCTGGTAAAAGATAATATTAAATGTGATCCCGAATGATATTATTTTATTTTAGAGTTTTCATTCAAATACATATTGTAGTGGATTATTTGTATTGATTATAGCTGTAAGAACTTTCATTTGCTATTACAAATGTTTTAAAATGTTAAAAATATGACTTTTGTGGCCAAGTGGGGGAAGGGTTCACCCTTAGCATTACTTCTAAGCACTAAGACGTGACATTTTGCCTCCTCATGGGAAGATCACATTCAAGGGAGACTCCATGGGACTCTCCCTCACCAGCCCTGAGGAGCAAGCTGCTGCTTACGCGTGGACTAAATGCTCTCCATCCCAGACATCATTGTTGTTTAGTTTCATATTTTTAATATATTGACTTCACAAATCACAACTGAGTATTTTATGCTGTTTTTTTAAAACCTGAATTTTTTATTTATTAATTTGTTTCTATTTAAAAATATACGAGTTAAAAGCATATTATTGTTAAATTTCTAGTTGCAAGCATTAGCAATCACAATGGAGAGAAAATCAAGGCATTATCTAGAGGACAAAAGAGTTTCAAGGTCATTGCTTATGTCTCTTTTACTTGGTAAATTTTTTACTATTCTATTTTGCCTGAGGTAAATGTTCTCGGAAATATACTCTACATGCCTTAGAAGATCAATACTGCTACTGCAGAGTAATAGTAGTTGTAAAGAGAATGGGAAAAAAACAGGTTGAAATAATCCAGGTTAAACTCTTTTAGAAATAAAACTTTTTTTAGTGAACTAAAATAAAAATAATAATAATAATAAAGCCCAAATATTACCATTGCCTTTAAGCAACAAAGACACAATAAAAACATAGCCATGGCATTGTCAAAATGTGAAAGTCTCTAGTCGATCTTTTTTAAGTTTCCCTTAGTTTATGGTCATGTAATTATCGTAGAAGTCTTTCATTTGGATTTGACAGAGAGTTTTGTTTTTTTCATGCACATAATTAGCTATATAACAAGGAATAATTGTTTAATTTACATATATTTTACACGGAATGTGATATTTATTCATTATGTACTTGATACATTAATTCTTTATGTTAACCAAATGTGAGAAAGTCAAACTTTAAAAATTTTAAATGACAGCTGCATAAAAATAGACAATTTTTGAGGTATGGTTTACTGTATAAATTTTGGATAATGTAAGTGAAATGGATAGCCATGTAAAAAAGTACTAGTAATATTTTTGTGAAATTAAAAATGATAAATGAAGGGCCGGGCGCGGTGGCTCACGCCTGTAATCCTAGCTCTCTGGGAGGCCGAGGCGGGTGGATTGTTTGAGCTCAGGAGTTTGAAACCAGCCTGA